TGTGGGCAGCCTCGCAACCCAGCGCTCAACCACTGCACCACTGGGGAGGCCCTTACGTGACTATTTTTAACATGTATTTCTGATCACAACACAGACTAGGTGAGAGACTGAACACTGATATTCACATATAGAATTCTACTACAAGAGGATAGTTTGAAGCAGAGCTTTTCTTGATGATAGATGATGGGTGGTCATGCATAAGTTCCAGAAAGACTTTCACTGCAGATTTTATTATGATGAATACTCTTCACTCATTTCCATGAGCTATGGGACTGCAACATGGATGGGACACCATCAGTGACCTCCCTCTTGAACTGTAGAAGTACAGATCAAACCCCCCCAAGTTTGACTTTAAGAACCTGTCTCATAGATCTGTGAGTTTTACAGCAGAAGCTATAGCACTTATCTTTGCTGACCTTATTTAATTAGATGATTCCTCCCTCACACATGCAGAACGATAAGCTAAATATTTATTTAACAGAAACACGAAACACAATACCAATTAAAGAACTGCCTTGAACACTTTTTTTCTATTTAATTTTCCTTTGCCTTGAAATAAGGACCTGCAGCAGCATTGTGCCAGGGCAGCTCAGGACTATCAGATTACAGAAGAACATTTGTTTGTACACAATGGGATCAAGTTTTCCAAAACACACTGCACATGTGTGCAGTGTTGATAACCTTTTATCCTTTTTTTCCTTGTTGTAAATCACTGGAGGATTTTAACCTTTAAGCAAGAGATTGCCATCTTTATCAAAACATTCAGTTCCTAAGTCTGCTCTTATCTAGTCTATCTTGTGACTTCCATTTGCCATGTGCAAGGGTTTCCCTAAGCCCTGGTGAACAATGCTGGGGTGTATTCCAATTGCCAAGGAGGGTAGCCCTGTGGTTGGTTGTATAGAACTTTGGGGGCCTTGGGTTCGGGTCCAAGCTTTACAGTTCTGTGGTTCCACCCTTCATTAGGCGAGATTCAAAATAACACTGGAGTATTTTAATAATAACAATAGCAGACCAATTAGAACACCCTCTGGTGCCCCTGGAGCAGGAGCAGAGGCCTGGAGACAATAACTGCTGGATAGCAGGGAGGTCGATGGGAGGGCCCAAGGTCAAGGTTTGGGAGGCTGGGCAGAGGTGGGTAAGGGCCACTCCAGGCACTTATTTACCATGTGGCTTAAATGCTCCAACATTCTAATAATTGGCATGGCTATGTCTGGCCTCTGTTCCTCCTTTCACAGCCCTTGTCCACTCTAGCTCCCCGAGATCAGGCATTGCTGTCCGTAGTTGGTGACTTTACTTCTCATAGCTTCTTTTGTAAAATATGTTATAAACATTGACAATAAATATTGGTTCAGTGGACTGCTACCTCTCAGTTTCTTCTCATGCTATTCTTTGCAACTGCAATGCTCTATTCTCCTTCCTGGGCTTTACTCATCACTCCAGGACTTGTTTTTTCACTTAATAACAACAATTGCTATCACTTATCAAGCCCCTGCTGTGTAGTAGGCAATAGTCAGAAGTACTGGGGTATAGGCCAGAAATGCGGGGGGTAAGAGGATTCACTAGAGACAGAGCGGGGAACATAACAGCTGGATGTACTGAAATACTGGATGTACTGAAATACCGCTGAGGGGAGCAGCGGGTGAGACAGGAGAGGTCTGCTGTGCCATATAATGAGGGTTAGCCCCCTGGCCAGGGATTGAACTCAGGTCAGAGTGGTGATTGATAGTGCTGAGATTTAACTCCTACGCCACCAGGGAGACCCAGGTCTGTTATTATTAAAATGTTCAGTGATTCCGCCCTGCCCTCCCTTGAGAGTAAAGCTAATTAAGGGAAAAGATCCTCTGCCTTTGTCTTTCCCTGAAACTTGACAAGTCTCTTCAGAGTAGGTGCCTCCACTAAATTGTGATTTTAAAGGTTTCACTTTTGTAACTATCTTCTAGGAAACAGGCAAAATTTCAATTGTTTTAACCATCATGACAAGAATTGCACCCTGGATGCTGAAAAACTGGTAAATGGCTCACAACTTCACAGTTTTCTCACAGCCTATGAGATATTTAACTTAATAAGCATTTCCACAGCACCAGTTCTGTGTGAAAATTCACAGACTCTGGTAAAACGGAGATAAACTGAGAAATTGCCCTCACCCCATCCTCCCAGCCCATAGAGCTCTCTGTACAGGAGACAGACAGCACACCAAGGAGCTATACTGAGCTGAACCATGCCAAGAAACATTGGAGAAGAAAGCTTCTAGGAGCACATCTGATGATCAAAACCAGTCCTGATTATTGTCTATCCATATTTAGATTAAACCAGAAAGTGGCAGTTCTGGCCACTCAATTAGTAGTAGTATTTATTTTTTCTCCTATTCTTAAGATTAGGACACAACATGTGAAAGTGACCTTGAGTAAAACGTATGATTCCACAGTCTTCTGGCACTAGAAGAGCACATCCTGTTTATCTAGAACATTTAATCTGATTTTGTAAATTCTGCAAATAATAGGGAGCCCATGAATCTACAGTGAAGTGAATGGGGTTATGCCACTGACATGGGAGCTGGAAAACCCTTCTTTGTCACATTCATATGTGAGATGGGTTCGTCCCGTTCTTAACAGCAACAGCCGGAATCCTAATACATGCTGTTCACAGCTGCTGACACTTCTGGCACCAAGTCCTCAGCTACAGGAACAGGTATCACTGCTACTCCTCATTAGTCACTTGATCTCCTAGAATCAGGATACAGCGATTCTCAGCCCTACCTGCTTAATAGAAACACATAAAACAACAGCAACATACCTCGGTCCCTTCCCCAGAGATTCTGATTTTATTACTTCAAGGAAAGTGTCTGAGCAATGTTTTCTTTTTGTTAAGATTCTGGGTTAACATTCATAGACAGCAAGTGGTGTTAGAATCTGCCATAAATTTGGACCAGGAAATAGCGTGATCTGTCTATAGATTTCCAGAAAAATACGTGCCATGTTGTTGCAAAGCCTATCGAATCCAGGCATTAACCTTAATTCTCTATTCTACATGATTTTCACCCTCACAAGACTGACGAAGAATAAGATTGGAAAGCCAGAGATCTGGGTTTATTCTCATCTCAATGTCCCCAAAAAGTATCCTTTTTCATACTGGCCAAACAACCTTTGAAACTCTCATTTTTGTATTCCATAAGATGGAGATATCTGCTTTACCCATGATATGATGAGAGAAGAGGAAGTCTCTATCCTAAGCATTACGTAATAGGATGAAATATTAATCAGATTAACTAGGGATTAGGAGAAGGAATGAAGGCAGGCAAATTAACAGGATAGTTGTGAAAGCATTACAGAAAGTCCCAAGTCAGCAGAGCCAGTAGATTTCTAGTTTAGGGTAGCAAATTCCAAATAGTAACTCCAAGTATTTTGTGATTATCTATAGGTTTAAGGTTGTCTATTTTTACATTCTTTCTAAACCCGTTCTCTATGACATTGTAGCAACTTGTTTGTAGTGATTTTTCCTTATAGTCACATGTCTCATCACAATAGATAAAGGAAAAAAATAAAAGGTTACTTTTTTACAGAAGGCTAAAAAAAATAAACCTACCTGTCATATGCATTTATTATCCACTAAATAAAAAAAAATTCTCCCACCCTCAAGTTATCTTTCCACTTTATATCTGTGTATCTATCTTATCTATCCATCCATCCATCCACTATTCATTCATCCATCCATACATCCATACATGCATACATACATACATTCATCCATCTATTTCCTTTTATTTTTTTCCTGTTCTTTTCCAGAACAAGGCTGCCTTTGAAGACCTTCAAGAGAGAAGACTAAACCATTAGTTGGAAAATCTAGAGTTTAATCTATGGAAAGTTATTATTATTAATCTCCAAAGCCAAAACTGATACAAAAATAATAACGGTAAAAGTGAACAAAGCACTTTCAGATTTTTCTAAGTGTTAAAAATCTGTTCACACCTCCCATGTATCATCTTGTCTTTCCAGTGAGAAGACAGTGCTGTCAAGGATTAGTCCACGAATCTGACTATGAGCATTTGCTGTTCTCCTAAGTGCCCTGGGTTGTCTTATAGCTGGGAAGACACAATATAAGTCAGAAGACAGAAAATATGTCATCAAATTGGTAAAACACGCAGCAAACTATTGATAGGATAATTGGGGGGGGGCATGAAAAGAGCGTGGGTTAGTGGATGTGTGGCTTAAGACCCTGGTAGAGGCAGTGTTACAGCATGAATATACTCATGTATTACTTGCGTGGCTCAAAAAGAAAGACCAAAAGCATCAGCCCTTTACAGAAACAAAAACTTAGGTGCTGTGAAGCAGTGTGGACTGGCTTTCTATGAAGTGTAAAAAGGCACGATTTAAGCAACCCTCACACTATCGAGCTCTTCCTCCCTCCTAGAATGCAGAAGGCATTCTTGCCCCCCAGCACTGTTCCTGCTCTCCTTCCTGGCACTAACGGTAAACCTTTTCCTGCTTTGTCTTGGGTGGGAGGTTGCAGCTTACATTTCACCTCTCAGAGAGCACCCCTGACCCCAGGCACAGTCTGGGAGCTGTGAAAATCCCCAGTGCTCCCCTGCTCCACACAGACAGCCTTCCCTTTATAGGCACCACCGCAACATGGCTGCCTGGACAGGGAATGCTCACATAGCCGTCCATGAATACTCTGGTCTTTATGGAATTTTCTGGCTCAGGCAGGGATGGGAGAATTCATTAAAAAAAAAAAAAGAGGAAGAAGGGAAAAAGGAAATGAAAATGCTCTTCATTGTAGATAAAATCCTAAAAGGATCTTAGCTAATTGCCTGAAAATTAAATTCCCTTACCATAGTCTCATCAATTTGACCAACCACACAATGCCCTTGACAGCACAGCCATTTGAAAGAAAATCAAGCAAAGACCGGAAGATGCCTTAAAAGGAAAATCAAAGTGGCTGTAGCTGCTCCTGGGGTCCTGCTGCAGAGAGAGACAGACCCCTGCAGGAGAAGTGCCTGTTACCTGTCCAGCAGCGTTGTCCCCAGGCGGGCTGCTGCCTTGTTCAGACGCCTAAAGCATCCAGGTTTCCACTGCGAGGCCAGTGGCCTCCTCGGAGCTCTCACACCCAGTGAAGGGAGAGCCACGCAGCACTCATCTTGAGATCGCAGGCAGAGCTGGCAGCTCCACACTGAGTTCAGTCTCACCCCTTACTGGTGCCACCCCAGCCTCTGCCCTCCGAGCCTCACAGAGCCATCCCTGAGACCTCACTGCTGTTTGAAAAACAAGAAGTAATTTCCTGGTCCTCTTCCCCGGATGGTGTGTGCGATTTCCCTCACGCCCATGGGAAGTCCTTCAGATCCTTCTTATCTGGAAACCTCTCCACTGAGTGGCCAGACTTGTTTGGCAATGCCGCTAGGTCTTGCTTTCCTTTCTCCGTAGAAAAAAATCATAAAAATGAAGCCAAAGTAAACCAAAATGGCTTAGAACTAATGAGTGGGTATCGGAAACCTGATTTAAACCTTAGAAAGACACCCGTTAAATTAGATTGTGATTTCAGAGTGGGAGGGAAATCACAATTCGATGAGTTCCTTGTCTCTGGCAGTTCCTTGATTTGAGTTCCTTGATTTGAGTTCTTCAAATCGATGAGTTCCTTGTCTCTGGCAGTACCAAGAAGTCCCAGAGTAAAAATATCCTCAGAGTATGAGAAGAGCTAAAGAAGTCATTTAGTCTTTGCCCCCAAACTCTGGGGAGGGATGCACTTCAACATTCAGCAGAAAGGGGATGCTCAGTTTTCCCATATTCCAGGGAGACTCTGAATATTTGTGCAGAGAACTATAAACTCTATGACATCTCAACAACACTGATATTTAAAGATAAGGAGCTAATGGAAAATGACCAGTTGGCAGGAAGCAGTCAGGTTGTTATATTTAGAGATGAATTATAGCCAGAGGATTTGAGCAGGAAATCACCTACCCGTCCTCATTTGTAAAATGAGGCAACTGAGGCCCAAGGAGAAACAGTGACTCACCCTGGGCCAGAGAACAGATGAGAGTAGATTACACCTAAGTGTTCTTAAATTTTAGTATGGGCTGTGCTGTTCAATTCCTGCTCTGGAGGCCTACCCACAACATGTTGGATGAATGACACCTGGTCTGGAGTCCAGGAATCTGCCTTGTGAGTAGATGTTCTAGGTGAGTCTGATGGAGCTAATTCCAAGACTCACATCCTTATAGCAAGGACTGCAGGATTCCTGCAGAGCCAGACTGCAGGATTCAAGCCTTAGTCCCACAGATGTATATGTATATGGTCTTGTACACATGATGAGACTTATAGAGACTCGAATTTTAGTGTGTGGCTAATAATGCCACTGAGTTTTGGGGGCCCTGGGAAAGCCGGGCAGAGAGGGACAGCTTGAGCCTGTTCATAGTATTTGGAGACCTGGCCTTGAGCCCTCCAAACTCAGTTTTGTTGCATTCTTTCTTGTTGTACACCATCCTCTTCTTTCAGTGCCCCCTTCTCTTTTGGCCAAGACGCTCCCTTAGATGTGTCAGCAAGCAAGTGGTACTCAGGGTAGAGGCAAAAGTGAAGTATTTTGGTAAAAAGAAGATGAGCCTTCAAAATATTGCTATCCTGCTTCTTCATTCTGATTCTCCATTACATTCCACAGCTCACTCCATGCCATCACTGGCAGATGTTGGTAGTTGTTCACCCAAGGTCAGGTCTGGCAGGGGACTCACCAGCAGCCAGGCTGTGTGTTCAGGGAGGGGACCAGGGAGGCAGGGTGATCCCTAGGGCCAGGGGTACATGATGATTGGTCGAAAGCACAGAGATCTCATTCTCCTTGCTGGCGGTTAGGTATAATTGGACATGTGGTCCATTGCAGAGGCATGTTGCCTCTGAATTTGCTATTAGTGGCACAACAAAGAGGCTTACTATTTAATTGTGTTCTAACTGAAGTTTCTGCTATTTGTGGCTAAAAGGCTACTATGATAAATTGATGAATCATTATGAAAAATAAATCTTTTTATCCTTTATAAAACACTGCTCTTGGCCTCAAAAAAAAAAAAATTAGGAAGGATACTGGTGCCTCCCTGGTGGTCAGGAGTTAGTCTCAGCACTATCAAGCTATCACCATCACGAGTTCAAACCCCGGCCAGGGAGCTAACCCATATGGTGCAGCAGACCTCTCCTGTCTCCCCGCTGCTCCCCTCAGCAGTGTATTTCTGTAGATCTGCCAGATTCTGCTCCAGATTCTGTCTCTGGTGAATCCTCTCACCACCCCCCCACACTCCCCTTACCTCCGGCCTATACCCCAGTTCTTGTTTGCATAAACAAATAAAAAAAAATCTTTAAAAAAATAAGAATACTAAAACACACACAGAGTCCCAAGTAAAATATTCCTAATTAATTTCTAATGCAAAGTATTTATGGCATTGACTTATTTCAGCAAATGGATAAGGATTCTCAAGATTATTTTTATACTAAAAAACATCTATATTAATTAGTGGGGAAGCACCTGGTCTGGAAAACCAGACCAACCTGGAGGTTAAGTGATTGAACATCAGATCTGCCAACTAATAGCTCCATGGAATCTTAATCCGATTACTCATGCCATTTAAACTTTCTTGGTTGTTTCTTCATCTGTAAAAATCAGAGCCATAATAATACCTACCTCAGGTTTGTTGTGAGGGCTAAACGAATTAGTAAAAAATGCTTGAAAAAAAAATGCTTTGAACAGAGTCTGGCACATAGTAAGCATAGAGAAGTGTTGACTTTTGTTATTTCTTCAATAAAGAAAGAGCTTTACTTTCTGCTAGTTTCTGCTAGGTGCGGCACAGATTGGCACTCTAAAGATGCCTCCAAAACATATCTTGTCTCTGTCACAGATTTGGCTCTTTTAGGGATCACTTGAGTGGGCAGTTTTAAATTGCAAATAAAACACACCGGCTGTGCTATGGAGGAATGAAGAAAATATAGAAGGAAGTGGGACATTAAAAAGAAGCTGGCCACTAATGGCTTTGTAATTGCAAGGTAGAACTAGAGGTTGGAGACAGCTAGCCTGATCCATGAGAAAGGGGAGCATGCAGACATGGAGACTTCAAGATTAACAATGGGGGGGGAGTTTGAATTACATACACCTTGCATTAAAAAAAAAAAAAAAAAAAAAGCATAACCTGCCTTCAGAGTGACTTCCTGAGGAAAAGCTTCCTTTAAAACCCTGTGTCTTTCTCCTGCTTGAATTGGGTTGTTAGGCTCTGTTGGCTCGTTGATCTGCATTAGGGCGTTGTCAGGTGGCTGTCCTTTGCTTCCCTGAGGAGCAATTCCTCTCTCACCCGCAGACCAGTTTGTTGCTAGGAACATTCTGTGCTTGTAGCACTTACTTTACAATGAAAACAAAGACAAATAAAAAATGGAACCACCATATGGTCTCTGTAGCAACCCAGCATTAACTGCTGATGGGGAGGCTTTGCCTGGTTACAGCTGCAATTGGCTACAGCTTCTCCTGAATTCTAAGAAGTTGGAGTTGCTGGCAAGTTAAGCGGAATTTATTTAATCAGATTGCAACTGTGCAGCCAGCATAACTAATTTGCCAGTCGTGTTACCTATGTTTGTGTTAGTATGAGGAGTCTCTTAGGACCCAGGGGTAACCTCCTTAGAAATAGGGTTATTTTCTCAGGCAGAAATTCAGCACCAATAAATGTGTATTTCTGTATGCTCCAGGCTGTTTCAACCCTCTGCCCTTCCCCCTTCTTCACCAGGCTAATGTTTATTCTCCTTTTAAGTTAGTTATTATTTTTTCCAAGCCTAGCCAACCTGGGATGGGTGTTCCTTTTCCTGGTCCCATACTATCAGGTATGTATCATTTTCCAATTTCTTCACTACATTTAAATGATTATTTTAAAGCATTAACTATAAGAAATGCTTATTAGTCCCTGAGGGCAGGGACCAGTCTTATTTGTCTTATGCTCAGATCCTTAAATAGTGCTAGCATATAGTAGGCGATCACTAAAAGCAAACAGAATGAAACTGTTCTATCTTACTCCAATGCTAGTTTCTCCTTTCTACATTGCAGTGTCTCGTGTTCAGTCTTTGAAACTCTTCTCTGTCAATACTCTCCAAGTGATCTGTTTCCACCAGTTTCATGGTTTAAATCTTTGTGCAAATGATTTCCAAATGTATGTCCCTGTCATGGACCTCTCACCTGAGCTCCTGACCCATCTATCTAAGTGCCTACTCCATATCTCCACTTGCTCAGTGAATCTCAACTGAACATGCCCAAATCTAAATTCTGAACTCCCCTCCCAAATGAATGACTACAGCAGTCTCTTCTATCTGATTAAAGGACATCTCCATCCTTCCAAGTCACCTAGACCCAAATGCTACAGTCATTTTTTTTAGTCCTCCCTTGCACACTTTCTATTTAATTTGTTATCAAATCCTGTCAGTTCTACTTTTACAATCTCCTCATAGTTGGGCATTTCTTCTTCCTTTCACTACTGTCATCCTCATCCAGGCCATTATTTTCTCTTGACTGGATTGTTACTATTCTCTCTAGTTGGTCTCTGTGCACACAGCAGTTTAGAATGGTCCTTACAAAACATAAGTTATAGACTCTTCACCTACACTCCAGCACTTTCATCTAACACAAACAGAATGTTCTTTCAATGGCCTCTAAGACCATTCTGTGTCCCTGCTCCCTTCACCATTCTCTCCTTAATTTCTCTCCTATCTCTCTCCTGCATGCCTACATTGCTCCCTGGCTTTCTCCTGAACCAGGAACAACTTCATCTCAGTCTGCCCACTCCCTGTTCTGTCTGCCTGGAATGTTCTTTGCCCAGATATCCTTGACTCTCACTCCTTACCTCATTCTTACCTTTGCCTGAATATCACTCACTTTCTTCATGAAGCCTCCACTGACTGCCATATTTCACATTTCCGCCTCCCAGCCCCCCTTCCCAGGTTAATTTTTTTTTCCTGTGTCATCTATCACCTCTAATACACTCATTTATTTCATTGACTGTTTGCACCTTCCATCCCTTCACTAGACTCTAAGTTCTCTACAGACAGAGATGTCTTTTTGATGGTTCACTGAAGAAGACTAATTGAAAGTCTAACATAAATGCACAGCAAGGGTCTATTCAAAGGTACATAAAGGATCAATTTGCATAGAACTCCCACTTCCCATCTTGGTAGAATGAGCCCTGGTGTGTTTTGTTTTTTCAATCTACAAACAGAGGTGTAATCCAGTGTGGCCGTGGGTCAACTCTCTTTAGGTATTTCTATATTAAGGCCAGTAAAATTCCCCTCTGGCACTGACATATCCTTATGCCAGGGAGGAACAGACATATAACTTAATAATA